TATAGAGGTACCTATTGAAGCGCTCTATCCGGGCTACGGGAGTGGCTTTTGACGACGTCTCCAACAGAGATGTGATATCCATAAGCCCTGACGGAGCCTCCACCACCTCATCATATCCGGGGTACTCTGGCACTCCTCAGAATAGCATATACTGTGTGAGTAAGTTGCCGAAGAAGAACCGCCTAATCTATCGCCCAAATCTCGTGCAGGCCATCTCACTACGCATAATCTCACCCACATTAACGGGTCTGCCGGTCATCAAAAAGAAGATGACACACAATCGAGCTCGAGTGCAGTCGCTGCTATGCTCCACTGGTATGAGACTGACTTGCACAAAATTCTGCCACACTTTGGCAGCTTTGTTGAAGTCGGAGGGAACCATAGAAAGGTGAATGTTGCCCTGTTTCCTGTTCCACTTAGCGTTGGAATCCATGCCATAAAGAGTGTGACGTATCAACTCATATTTCGGGCGTCTGATAAATCATTGGAGTCTCCTCGGGTTAGCATTCTCAACCCCCAAATATTGACATAAAGACTCTCTATCCAGCGGCACATCCTTCCCCCTTACACGTGCAGTGCCCCATACAACATCCCAGTTAGCATAAAGCTCTCGAACTATGCTCAGGTTCGCATGCCCCGAGCATTCCAAGAACTTGTTCATATTTAGTGCGCGTAGCCTGCCAAGTACCTCCGGGAAGTTTCTTTCTAAAGTCATGGTATTAATTCCCATCTCAGAGATGTACCATCTAGATGGAATGAAGTCCTTGTGCCATGAAATAGTTGCAGCATCGGCCAAATCCAAATGAGGCCTCGGCCTCAATGACGCCTGCTGAGATCCCTCGACAACCTGTTTTCCTTTGGATTGTCATGACGAACTTTCTCCCTGCTTTCACCTTTTGGGCATTGGGGAGGTGGTGGAGGACTTTCCAATGCCCTTGGCTTTGCTAGAACCACCACAAGCCATAATATCCTGCAACATAAATAAGCATGAATGTGAGAGCACATCAATAAATATGCCTAAGGTTGTTGTGCAAGTCATGAAATGACCCCACACTTAAAACAAAAGGCACAATGTACAATACTTCACAATTTTTTTGGATCTAACATGTACAAGTGTTGCACCCCAAAGCGATGGGTACTCAAGACTTCCCCATGCCATACAAGAGTTATTGATCATGGCTGCGTGAATTCACATTAAGGTAAGCAAAGGGCATATGGTACTCACCTTTCCACAACTACTAGACTACACTAAATTAGTTAAATTTACAAGATTCTACAACATACATTATATAAGATAGATGGTGTAGTAACATGATTTGAATCAAATCCAAACTCTCTAGCATGTAAAAGCATCCCTACACACCCCAACTTAGCCCAAATTCATACACAAATATACTCGGTTACTCAGACTTCACCGGTCCACCAAAATCTTCATTCAAGCATTTTAACAAAAACCTTGTGGGAATAAAGTGTGTGCTTCTAATTCAACAATGGTGGAATATGGTGGCCCTCCCAAATTTCAATGAAGTAGAGAGAATTTTAGTTTACTACTCCGTATACACAATAACCACACAATTTTGACCAACTCAAACCACCCACCATAAAGATTTCATGAGAACTACATAGGGAAAAAATTTGGGGATTAGGGCTCTTGGGGATGGGATGTACATTGTTATCTAACAATTAAACATACAAACAAGGAGAAGAAGAAGAAAAGAAAGAAGAAATTACCTTTAGAGTGTAGAAGGAGAGCAAGAGAAAAACTTTGAGAAACTTTTGTGAAGTAGAAGAAGAAGAATGCGGTAGAAGCAGTTGAGAGAAAAGAGTGTAGCGTTTTTTTCTTTGTTTTTGTGTTTTTCTGATGTTAATTTGGAGTTTGGTTATGGTTAAGTTGGGTTGGGGATGGGTATGGGTATTAGAATAGGTTAGAATGTTAGTGTAAATGGGTAATTGAGTTGGGTTAAGTGGGTATGGGTTATTGAATAAAGAGGAGAGAAAAAACGAAAAATAAAATAAAAATAAATAAATATTACCTGGACCCCCAGCCCAGCGCTCAATCTATGCCTAGCGCTGGGGGATTTGAGCATTCTGCCTTCAGCGCCCCAGGCAGCGCTGGGCGCTGGCCTGGGTGCTATTTTTGAGGATTTTCACTTTTTTTTTATTTGACAACATCCCAATCCCCTGAACGTTTATATACTCAATCCCTAATAGCCCAGTATGCTTTGTGTTCAAGTTCAACGGGCAAGTGACATGCCTTACCATAAGCAAGCTTATAAGGGGATGCCCCAATTGGCGTTTTATATGCCCATAAGACATCATCTAACTATGCTGCCCAATCCTTCCCATTCACACTCACCGTCTTCTCTACTATTTTCTTTATTTGGCTATTTGACACCTCAGCTTGCCCACTTGTTTGAGGATGATATGCTGTAGTAACTCTGTGGCGAACTCCATATTTAACTAGAAGGTTATTCAATAACCGATTGCAAAAATGAGTCCCCTCATCACTAATTAAGGCACGTGGAGTCCCAAACCTCAAAAATATGTTCTTTTTCACAAACACAGCTACCACCATGGCATCATTTGTTGGCAAGGCAATTGCCTCCACCCATTTTGACACATAGTCAACTGCGAACAAAATGTATTAGTTTCCTCTGGACGATGGGAATGGTCCCATAAAATCTATCCCCCGCACATCAAAAATCTCAACTTCTAGGATTTTGTTCAAAGGCATCTCATGCCTCCTTGTGATTATTCCTGTTCTCTGACATTGGTCATACTTCTTAACAAATGCATGGGCATCCTTGAATAAAGTTGGCCAAAAGAGACCGGATTGCAATGCCTTTGCAGTTGTTCTATCTCCTCCATGATAGCCCTCATAAGGTGATGCAAAACAATCATACAACACTAATTCAACCTCCTTTTCTGGAATGCATCTCCTCATCAACTAATCAGCACATTGCTTGTACAAATATGGCTCATCCCAATAGTAGAAGTTCACATCATGTAGAAACCTTTTTCTAGATTTGGATTCAATTTTACGAGCGAGTACCCCACTTACAAGATAATTCACATAGTATGCATACCATGGGGGAGGGTCTTGGGTTATAGCAAAATATTGCTCATCGGGAAATACTTCTTTAATTTGGCTACCCTCCTCCACGTGATCGTGATTTTCCAGCCTTGATAGATGGTCAACTACTTGGCTCTATCCCGTTTAGATCTCGTATTTCTACATCGAATTCCTGCAGCAACAAAACCCAGTGCATCAATCTAGCCTTAGATTCCTTTTTTATAAACAGATACCTGATTGCTGCATGATCGGTATGGACTATAACTCACCAAGTATGCCCGGAATTTCTCAAAGGCCCACACAACAGTTAACAACTCCTTTTCAGTGGTCATGTAATTCAGTTGTGCATCATCAAGAGTCTTACTCGCATAGTATATGGAATAAAACACCTTCTCTTTCCTTTGGCCTAACATTGCCCCAATAGCATGGTCACTCGCATCACACATAAGTTCAAACGGTAGGGACCAATCAGGTGCCATAATAATGGGAGCAGACACCAACTTCTTTTTGAGTTCTTCGAATGCCTTGAGGCAGGTGTCATCAAAGTTGAAAGTTACATCTTTTTCAAGCAACCTGCATAAAGGAGTAGCAATTTTAGAAAAATCTTTAATAAAGCGACGATATAATCCTGCATGTCCCAAGAAACTCCGGACACCCTTCACTGAAATATGTGGAGGTAATTTTTCAACCTCCTCCACCTTCACCTTATCAACTTCAATGCCGCTCCTAGATTCTCTGTGACCCAACACGATGCCTTCTTGTACCATAAAATGGCACTTTTCCCAATTCAGTACCAGATTAGTTTCTTCACAACGGGCCAGCACCTTGCTTAAATTCCTCAAACAATCATCATAAGACGACCCAAAGAGAGAAAAATCATCCATACACAAATTTTTCCACCATGTCAGTGAAAATTGGCATCATGCATCTCTGGAAAGTGGCTGGTGCATTACAAAGACCAAACGACATTCGCTTGAAGGCAAAAGTGCCATAAGGACAAGTAAAAGTGGTCTTCTCCTGGTCCTCTGGGCATATGACAATCTGATTGTATGCCAAATAACTATCAAGGAAGCAATAATATTCATGCCCGGCTAATCTGTCCAGAATTTGGTCAATGAATGGAAGTGGAAAATGGTCCTTGCGGGGTGCTTTGTTGAGCCTTCTATAATCAATGCAGACTCTTCACCCCATCACAGTGCGAGTAGGAATTAGCTATTTTTTCTCATTCTCAATCACAGTCATCCCTCCCTTTTTGGGCACACATTGAATCGGGCTTACCCAATTGCTGTCAGAAATAGGAAAGATGATACCTGCATCGAGCAATTTGATTACTTCCTTTTTCACAACCTCTTTCATAATGGGATTTAACCTTCTCTACTGCTCCACACTGGGGCTGTGTCCATCCTCTAAGAAGATTTTATGCATGCAAATCGATGGACTAATTCCCTTGATGTCAGCAATAGTCCACCTAATACTTTTTATGTCACGGAGTACTCTGAGCAATTTTTCTTCTTGAGTGTTAGTCAAGCTGGATGAGATAATCACGGGAAATGTCTCATAGTTCCCCAAATAAGCGTAGTGCAGATGTGTTGGAAGTGGCTTAAGTTCTAGCTTCTTCAATAGATGACTTAGGAGGGGTCAGAGTGACAGGTCTGTCCAACTCCTCAAAATTTCCAAACCCATGGACATAACTGCAAGACATATCCAGTACTTGCTCGATTTCCCCCATCATTTCATCTTCACTGTCTACTTCATCCCCAATCAACACTCGTTCAACAGGATCTACAGGGCTCATATAGGGCACTAATGATGTGACATCACTTTCCACTACAGAGATCATGGATAGCTCTTCATAGTGGGCTGGAAACCTGAGTGCTTTATAAATATTGAATACCTCCAATCGATCACCTACTCTCATCATCATCTTTCATTCGCAAACATCAATAATAGCTCGGCCCGTGACTAAGAATGGACGCCCTAAAATAAATGGGACTTCCTGATCATGCTCGTAGTCCAGGATAATGAAATCAGCAAGGAATATGAAAGACCCCACTTGAACTAGCACATATTCAATCACTCCTTCAGGATGAGCAAGGGAGCAATCAACCAGTTGTAAGATTATTGTTGTTGGGAGCGGCTCACCCAACCCTAATTATTTGAACACAGATAGTGGCATCAAATTGATACTCACTCCAAGATCACATAAGGCTCGCCCAACTGCATGTTTACCAAACGACATTTGGATAGTGAAACTACCCGGATCCTTCAATTTCTGAGGTAACTTGCTTTGAATTCTTGAGCTACACTCCTTAGTGAGTGCCACGGTTTCGAACTCAGTCAACCTCATTTTATTTGCCACTATGTCCTTGATGTACTTTGCATATTTGGGCACTTCTTGTAATATGTCAACCAATAGAATATTAATTTGCATCTGCTTCAAAATATCAAGAAACTTTTTATATGTGACATTATCCTTGACTTTCTGCAATCTTTGAGGGAAAGGAGGTGGTGGCCTTGCAACCAATGGTGGGGGTTGCTCAGCCACCGCCTCTTCAACTGGCTTCTCTGCCTCCTTAGATTTTTTGGATGTTGATTCTATAGTGGCTGGTAGGAGATGCAAACGGGTGGGTCAGATCGGATATGGTTTAGGTCGAAAATGGGTAATGAAAAAATGGATAAATTATCCGACCCAACCCATATTTAATACGGATAAAAAATTGGTTAACCGGCGGATAATATTGATAACCATATTATCCATGACTTCTTGCATATGATAACTTTTGGGAGAACTCTTAGTTTCCTTAACTTGAGGAACCCCCAATTTAAAGCTTTACAAATGTAAATGTCAGACCCATTGGTTATCCATTGTTTACCCATTGGTTATCCATTTTCTAAATGGATAATATGGTTCTTATCCATATTTGACCCATTTTTAAAGAGTTCATTATCCAACCCATTTTTAGTGGATAATATGAGTGGTTAACTATTTTCTTTTAACCATTTTCCACCTCTAGTGGCTGGCCTCTCATTAAAAGTCACCTATTTCCTCTTTTTCAACTGGGCTTCTTCTAATTGCCACCCATTCCTCAATGACATGACATTAAGGGATGCCGTAGGATTAGCTTCAGTGTCACTTGGAAGAGCTCTAACTGGTCTAGTGTTTTGAGCACTGGCAAGCTGTCCCATTTGACGCTCCAAATTTCTCATTGTTGCGGCTTGGGCTTGCTGCTCAGCCATAAATTTCTGAGCGAGGTCTTGCTGTTCAGCCATCGCTTTTTTAATGTGTCTTCAAGGTGACTTGTTAGACTCGCTTTTTGTTCAGCCTGAGGTAGTCTATATTGTTGTTGAGGTGCTTGAAGCTTGCATTGATTCTGAGTACCTTGGTTTCCACCCCAAGAGAAGTTTGGGTGATTCCTCCAGTTGGGATTGTAAGTGTTCCCATATTAGTTTGTTTGGCCCCTATTTGCATTACCCACAAAGCAGACAGATTCTGGATTAGCGGGGCATAAGTCGCTCGTGTGACCCTCTCCACATATTTCACAAAACATTTGAACCCGTTGTACCGGTTATGCATGTTGCTTGTTGATAATCAAGGTCATCTGATTGACTTGGTTGGTCAGTGTAGAAATATGTGTTGATAATGTTTAGACGACATCTAACTCAAGAATCCCTGCAAACTTTTGCACTGTGTGTCTGCCCATCTCTCCTTGCCAATCCGGATTGCTATTGGAGAATTGTTCAATAATGCATATATCTCATCAAAGCTTTTCTCCAACACTTGATCTCGATCTGCATCATTTACCACAATTTTTGTTTCAGGATGTAGACCTTCTATGAAAGTGTGAGCTAATACTTCTCTTGTTTGATTGTGATGAGGACAATATCTGATTAGCCCCTTGAACCTCTCCCAAGTTGAGTATAAAGACTCTCCCACTTTCTGTTTGAAGGCAACTATCTCACTTCTGATCTTTATAATTTTGCCTGAAGGGAAGAACCTTGCCAGAAATTTCCTTGTCAAATCATTCCATGAGGTAATAGAATTAGATGGTTCTGCCTTCAACCATCGCTTTGCTTTGCCCAACAGTGAGAATGGAAAAAGTGTGAGCCTCACATAGTCTGGAGTGACTCCATTAGTGATATAAATGTCACTAATCTCCAAGAAGTTTAGGATATGCTGTTGTGGATCCTCGTGTGGAAGACCCATAAACTGCCCATTCGCATGAAGTAGCTGGATCATGCTCTGTTTCAGCTCAAAATGCCCAATGATCCTGGGCTTCACCATAATGGAGGTGACATTAGCAATGCTAGGCATAGCCACCTCCTGAATAGCCATATGTTCTTCCTCTGCCATGTTCACAGGAAATTGAACAAGTGCCTGAAGATTATTAGTATTATTGGCTTCCCTCAACCTCCTATGAAATGTCCTCTCAGGCTCAGGATCAAAGCCTTGAAGTTTGTCCTGGCTTCTGACCCTGCGCATTCAGTCAACGTTCCTGAGATCAGAGAAACAATCAAGTAACGTTATACTTGACGAAATAAACAAAATAAGCAAAAACTAGAAAGTAGTTAATATTCAAGTCCCCCGCAACAGAGCCAAAAACTTGTTGTTCCCAAACACACATGCAAGTATACGTGGTCGTACAAGTAATAAAATGATAAGTCGAGTGTCGAACACACAGAGACTTATATCAACTACCCACTAACTCACCAATATTGTTATTCAGTCAAGCTAAATTCGAGTTCAAGAATGTGATTATACTAAACTACAATTCAAAGTAATAACTAAACTATCAAGCAGTAAAATGATTGTTATGTATTCAATAGAGACAATATTCTAGGGTTGTGGTCGATTCACCAATTCTATTGTGTTCTAGTTAACTCTCCCTCTCATACAATTCACTCATTGTTGCTAATTAATCGATAATTGCTCTCATAGCCTTCTCCCGAAGTACTACTCACCTATTCAAAATAGATTAATGCCTATATTCCTATAAAATCAATCTATTAAAAACGTATTAAGATTACGATATTTAATTAAGCACGGTGACTAGGTATATTCCTATCCTAACCACAAATCCGCCCCCTCCCAAGGGTTAAGATCATCCTCTCTTCAATTCTTCTCTAATCTAAACACGGCTTTCCCAAGCATAACATAGATAGCAAATAGAACCTAACTGCTCACCATACAATTAAGCAATTAATCACAGAATTGAAGAAATAACCATATATTGGTGAATTGTAATCAAGTTTAAGTCAACATTAAACAACAATATTTCCTCTCAAAAGTGACGTTTCCCCTTCACAAATAAGTTTAGTCTTGCTTTATACGTGCTGGGTAGGTCTAGGGCCGAAACAACCATCTCCCGGGTGAATTTGGAGAAACTTCACATCACTAGCGCCCTGGCTAGCGCCAGGCACCCTCCACGGAGCTCTCAACTTGAACATTCTGTTTCTGGCGCCACAGGTGGCATTAGGCACTGCCTGTGGCGCTACAATGCCCATTTTTTCTGTTTTCGTCCATTTTGACTCAAATTTTGCACATATCGCCCCCTATTACTCCCGGATCATTCATACATATAAAAACACATCAAATTAATATAAATCAATATATTTAACTTCCTAAATCCACGAAACAAAAGTAAGATATGAGGCGATATACATACAAATATATATATATACTTTAAGCAAAACATCAGGGAACTACCCTCTTAGGATTCGAATCTTCTATGATAATTATAGTCAGTGTACGCGAGGTGATGAGTGCGTGCTCGGACTTATTTTTGGAAAGTTGGACTTTTAGGGTTCTTAGGTCCTTATATTAACTGTGTATGAAGTTGTTTTTGATATGATTGAGTTTCTTATTTACTAGTTTCACCTCTACATGATTTAACTGGAATTAATTGCTTTACGACTCACTCTTATTGCCTATTTGACTCTTATTTGATTAAACTGAAGATTTTACGTCTTCTATTGTCATCTTATCTGTTCATAACTGCTTATCCCTATTTGAATTTATTATTACCCCATCATGTAATGGATTAGTTTTAATTGATGTTATGATTATCTTTCAGCTGCTTATCCTTAATTGAATTTGTTGTATCTTCTTCATAATTGATCAACCTTAAAAGAAGTTTAGATATCCTATATCTTAGTTGACCGGTCCTTATTTGGAATATTTGACTTGTATTAGCTCCCTTGTTGTTGAACTGTATATTGTGAGATCATTGCTACATATTATTTTCTCCCTTGTTGAGTTGTTCTTATTACGCCTAGTATTCTCTATTGTGGTTATTCCTTGTGAACTAGTTCTATCGTTTCTTTGTGATCGAATGTTCTTGAGTTGATTTATTTGTTGTACTCTTGTATTTATTGTCATTATTGCTGTTGTACTTGTTGTTGTGATGCACGAGGTTTCTGCCGTGCGATTGTTGTTATTGTGATGCACAAAGTTTGTACCGTGCGAGTGTTATGAGGTTGCACGAGGTTTCTATCGTGCTATTGTTTCTATTGATATTTGCACATGCAGCGTGACAAGGCGGGATATATATATGGGTTTCACATGTGTCGAGACAAGGTGGAAACATTATATTGCACGTATGGCGAGATAAGACGGGCACTTACTTTATTATTGCACACATGGCGAGACAAGGTGGGATGTGTGAGGGATTGAGTTGTGATGATTTGTGATGGCCTGAGGGCATTCTTATTGTTGATATTCATGTAGTGGTGCACTTACTTGTGTGAGTTCTATATTGTGAAAAACTGTGGAAAAATATTTTACGTGTTGTCCATTCCTTTTTTTCAATACTTACTAGCTAGCATTACTAGGTTAGAACACTTGCACAAGCATACACGTAGCAAATCACCCTTATCAGTTAAGAAAAACGGATCTTGATGTTATTGATCATTTCTACATATCCTCGTCTGGTTCTATTGGCATGTGCACAATCCGTGCAGTTGTTGGTTGTAATGAGGGCACAAGGTGCCAAGTGTTCTGAGTTATGAATAAATGAGGTTCGATACCTCATGAAGGTTATTGGCTAAATCCTGATGCAAAAGTGGTTATTTTTATATGATTGCTACATGTCTTTCTTTTAACTGTTCTCATTGAATTTAGACCATATTCAGCATTACCTTACTATGTCATTATTTTTGGTGTTCCGCTGTTAGTTGTTGTTTTCTTTTTCTTACTGAAATTTCCATATCGTTTTGTCTTTATGCGTAGTGTTTATATAAATATCGTACTATGTTGCTCCTACAATTATACTTGTTCAGGTTATTTAGTACAGTAGGTGTCTTGACTGTTCCTCGTCACTACTCCACCGAGGTTAGTCTTGATACTTACTGGGTACCGCTGTGGTGTACTCATACTACACTTCTGTACATTTTTGTGCAGATCCAAGTATTTGATCGTTAGTAGCTGTGCAGACCGTTGCTGTGGAGACTCAAGGTAAACCTGCGGCTGCATTCGCAGGCTTCAGAGCCACCTTCTTATTTTGTATTTACACTGTTCACTTTTATTTTGAGACAGTTGTATTTTAGAGGTTTTCTAGCAAACTCTGTAGAGCTTATGACTTGTACTACTAGTTTTGGGATTGTAAATTTGTATAAAGATTTCTATTTTCGAAATTTGTTTGGTGTTAGTTAAGTTGTTGTTATTTCAGTTAATATTAGGCTTACCTAGTCTCTAAGACTAGGTGTCATCACGACACCCAACAACGGAAAATTTGGGTTGTGACAGTGAGTGTGCATGATGTATCTTTTGTCATTATTTTTTATTTAGTTATTTATTTTTCAATAAACAATATCTTTACAGTTCAACAAAAAATGATAAATGAGACGTAAAGCAAGTTTTTTTCCCTTTACGACTATTCCTAATTTAAATCTTCAGAATCTTTGGTAATTTTTCGTGAAACTTATGAAACTATAGAATGAGTGTTTCAATATATAGCTTCTCACTAATTCGATGCAAACTTTGTACACAAATGATTCTAATTTTTGTAGTACCTATTGTTGTTGAACAATACATACGTACAAAAAATATGATGAATGATAATTTTATTGTACTAGTTTTTATGTTGTACATGTTACCATTGTAAATTTTAGTATTCACGTAATTGAATCATTGATTTGACTTTGTTTCTTTCCTTCTTCCTCAGAAAATACTAATGTTTATTCGTATATTTTTTTTGTATGTTAGAGCATGGGAAGCAAATATGAATATCTCACAAAGCAAACTTGGATCAAAGTTTAATTGTAAAAATATTTTC